TCCCCTGAGTGGTCCCGCATTGAAGAGGGTGCAGGCCAGGCTGAGGGACTCCCTCCCACCCCCGTGCACAAATTTCGTGCACCAGGCCTCTAGTATGCATTATAACAATAGAAAGGCAGGCCAGATTAACAAATAACAATCTACTGCTGCCACCTATGGCAAGTATCAAAGGAGCAAATGTTTTAAAATGTCTTCAAGAATCCTGTAATTAACACTTTACTAGACAGAGTAACATGAATGAAAATAGGCCATATAGTCTTTGAAAGTCATTATAATGTTATATATTTAAATATCACAACCGACATGATTCCTGAATTTTATGATATCACATTTTTCTTTCAAAATAATTGCTCAGTATTTTTCTAAAATGAAATAAAGGTCATTCCAAATGGAAATTTTGTAAAATAAATTAGAATTTTAAATAAATGTATTATTCTTTGGAGCTGATAACAATGTCTGGGCTCAGGGCTATGACTAAAATAAGAATCTGTTCTTTCAGCTATGATTTTTGAATTTTTGTTTTATTTAGATCTATACAATTTTTACTCAAATAATAAATTTAAAATTGCTTGATTTTTCTAATGTTTTCCAACTTAAAGACTACTAACATCTTCAGTTATGGAAAACACAGAGTTTTCTGTTTTTCTTCATCAAATTACTTTTGAAATGGAAAATCTTAAAATACAAAACCAAAATAAAACAGCACCAGAGAGATACTATTAAATAAGTAATAATGTAATTTAGACAAATAGTCTAGACTATTTTTCCTTAGACATTTTATAATCTGGGGTCATATTCAGACATAACTGAATACCTAACTTTGATATCATTGATGCAAATATTTTAACCATTAGGATAAAGTTAGCTAAAAAATTAAAAGAATTAAGAACAATAAAATATATTCCTCCTCTCTACTTCTCTTTAAAATGAAAATGCTAGTTTTCTAAATAATCCATTCCATCTTTTGTGGTAATATTATACTTGATCCAGGCATTTTCTATCATTTGATCTCACTGATTCTGAAATGCACTTTTTTTCCATTTACTGGTTTCTGAATTTATTATATCTTATATTTGGCATGTATAATTGATTTGGTAATGTTTTGTTTTGCTTCTCTAAACGATGTTACTATATCAATTGTGTTTTTTCCAGTGGTGTTAGAAAATAGAGGAAATATAGTATTTGTTCATAGATTTGTGCCTCTAGGAACATGCTTTCCTAACGATTACGTGTATAACACTGATAATATATGAGTGATTCCAGGTGAGACATTAATAAATGTCCTGCTTTATATTAATAGTTGTGAATGTATTTTAATGTATGATAGGAAAAATAAAACATATACTTGAAATTCATGACTTGACAGACATTATTGCTTAGGATTAAACTAAGTTAAGGAAAATGAAGTGATTTAAATTGGATTCAGAGAAAAACCCAAAGTAAATAAAACTACGGATATCATAGACGTAAGAGGAAAATCCTGTATCTCATAAGGACAATGAATGTGTCTTATTGTTCTTTGGGCTTCATAACTAGCACATGCTTATTGCATTTCTTCAAATACTGACTATTTTGTCTCATTGGAAGTGGATGACATGATTTTAAAAATTTACCCTAAAGGGTGAAATGTTCAATTTATGAAAATAATTCTTCAGAAACATGTATTTTAAGAGGAGCTTATGATTCTAAATTATTTTTATAAGTAAACTAGTGGCCCAGTGCATGAAATTCATGCACGGGTGAGGTCCCTCAGCCTGGCCGACAATCGGGGCCTATCGGGCAGTCTCACCCAGTCCCGATCGGGGCCGCCCAGCTGGGGCCTGTTGGCTGCCGGATGTGGGGAGGGGCAGGGGAGAGACTGCGGGAGGTTTGCTGTCTGAGGGAAGGGTCCGGGGAATGTTGCCTGGCCATGGGAAGTTGGCTATGAGAGTGCACTGACCACCAGGGGACAGCTCCTGCTTTGAGCATCTGCCCCCTGGTGGTCAGTGCATGTCATAGTGGCTGGTTGACTGGTCCTTCTGGTCATTCAGTCATAACAGTCATTTAGGCATATATATATATATATAATAGGTTTGTGATCTATAAATGTGTGGAAAGTGTTAACTATTTCCACCACTAACAGCTTTGCCCATACATCCCTCTGCACATCTGAAGACACAAGTCATTCGCATGACACCTCTGTAGAATGCCTGCTCACCCTATTAAAAGATCCAAGGATGAGACTAAACTGCAAGGTTCCAAATAGTTATATTTCCTAAATACCTTTTCAATGACATTGTATACAGAACGGAATGTAAGTTTAATACCTGGATTGTTTGTTAGGGTTAGGGGTCTGCACTTCCTTCTTTACCTTGGCATTTGCCTTTCCTCATTTTGTATGTAGGGTTGAATGCCAAGCATTGAACACTAAGATGTTATAGATCAACAATTTTACCTATTCCTTTGGAAAGGTTGACAAGAGACTATTATATTATATTAATTATATTATATTATATTATATTATATTATATTATATTATATTATATTATATTAAATTTCTAATTCTGGAAAATCTGCAGATTTTCAAGTATAAGGAGGCCCAAGCCCAAGAGCTGGGTGTGGAGAAGTCTTTTATATGACATCTGTGAGAAATTAACCTAATACAGTGAAATAAGCATTAACTCAAAGACAAGTGTGCTGTGCTCATTTATGTCATCATTGTGTTTTTGTTTTTTTTTAATATAATTTGATTGATTTCAGAGAGGAAGGGAGAGGGAGAGATAGAAACAACATAAATGATGAGAGAAAATCATCAATTGGTTGCTTCCTACATGCCCCCACTGGGGACTGAGCCTGTAACCTGGGCATGTGCCCTGACTGGGAATCAAACTGTGACTTCTTGGTTCATAGGTTGACGCTCAACCACAGAGCCATGCTGGCCAGGCCATGCCATTATTGTTTTATTCTAACTTGTTCATCCTCTCTTTGTACCTCAGTTCTTCTTTGCTGTAAAATAGGGACTTGTTATAATTTCCAAGTCTCATTCTTTCTTGAAGTTTCATTTTTTTTATTCTATCATAGTTAGCATGGATTATAGAAGGGATAAGAAGAGAATATACAATAGATAAGTTTATAGTTGTAATTACCCACCTTCATGAATGTCTATTAGGTAAAAATCAACCTTCTCTGTGTCATCACAACAAATGCTTCACTATTAATTCCTTTGGGTACCTTTCTTACTTCTTCCAAAATTATTTATTTCTTCATATAAACATAGCTATATTACGAATAAGAGTAACCAGGCTGGTGGCCTTCATAGGTTATCTTTGATTGGCCTGAATGTTTATATGAAATTAAATAGAATTCTTACAACAAAAGAAATATTAACCATAAAGAATACAAGTTATACAGTACATGAGCTTTGTGTGAGTTTGTGTGTGTGTGTGTGTGTGTGTGTGTGTGTGTGTGTGTGTGAGTGTGTGTGTGTTTACTGCAAAGTTGTTACAATTTACAGAAAATAAGACTATGTGAATGGTCTTCCCCCTTAGATGAATCCTTTAAAGCAGTGGTTCTCAACCTGTGGGTCAGGACCCCTTTGGTGGTCGAATGACCCTTTCACAGGGGTCGCCTAAGACCATCATGCATATCAGATATTTACATTACGATTCATAACAGTAGCAACATTACAGTTATGAAGTAGCAACAAAAATAATTTTATGGTTGGGTCACAACATGAGGAACTGTATTTAAAGAGCCAGAAGATTGAGAACCACTGCTTTAAAGTAAACTTTCAAGTAAAACTCGCAAATGAATCTAGATTATAGCCAACCGCCTCCACCCTATCCCCAATGACAAATACAGTACAAGACAGCTGCTAAATTTAACATGCCTTTACTGGAACACGGGTGCCTCCTGCACAAAGCAGGCTATGTGCTGCCAATCCACAGGATGTACTCAATTTCTGAATTGCTGCACAGCAGCCCTGCTGATCCTTAATCCTCCTGGATACAGCATTGACATGTGGCCAAGACTTTCAGAGGATTCATTTTTAAAGGGAAAAAAGGAACAAGAGGAAAGAAAAAGCTCAAAGCAACATGTTAAGACACATCCTGTGAGGCAAACATTTTGAGATGGGGAAAAAATGACTCAATAAATACATTTAAAAATCGTCAGTCCCCGAGACACACATGGTTTGTGTTCTTAAAGTTCATTTGTGCACCAATTGTTAGGAATATGTTTCTCCATAGAAACCATGCTTAATGTTTTACTTGTCAGTTATGTTCTCGGGTTAGGCCATGTCCCTAACATATTTAATATTCAAATGATATTGAATCCATCACTTATATCAGTATGTCTGTTGATAAGGAAATCAGATATGCATCATGTCTGCTGTCAGTCTGATCCATTCATTGATTCTTCCACTCAGTCATTCATTGAGAACCTAATATGTTACAGGTGGGGATAATGTGACTAACAAGATAGGCCTCATTCCTGCCTTCATGGAACTTATTAAAATCATGTTTGGTAATGCTTAGATGCTGGCAACATGTTTAGCAGATGCTGACCAAAATGAAGGCAAATTGATTATCCAATATACAGTGTTCCTAAGTATGACTCAGTCATGGGACCCATTTATGAATAGGAAAAGGGAGGGGTCAATAAGTGATATAAAATATCAGAAATGGGTATGAGCAACATAAATCTTAGTGGTCAGGATTCCAGCTAGTGTCTATGGGGTTGGATAAAATTGTCAGGAGGGTATAAGTTAGAGCATCATCAGTGGGAAAGGTAGTTATCTATATGGTATCAATCTGTCTATAAATTAGAAATATAAACTTCCATCTTTATATATCCATAACTTCTTGTGCCTATCTTGGAGGGTTAAAAGACCAGGGCCCTGAAACTCATGTTTTGTCTCTGTATGTTGGATCTGTTGAATTTGTGTGAGGCACAATCACTAGCTAGAATAATGCTTGCTTTTTCTTTAGATGCATCTTGATTTCTTCACCTATTTTTTTCAGCATCTGGATCTCGTCTCACTTAAGATCATATAGCAGGAACCATCATCCCTGGAACCCACTTGATTTTTATCAGAAGTTTCCAACATCCTGCAGCAGACAGAATTGTTTCGAGGACTCCTCTAAGACCTCCATCTGAGTGCCTGTTGATGGGCTTTGAAACCAGTAAATAATCAAGCCCTCTGCATGCTTTTCAAGGTCCCTACCTATGATTGAGATCCCTTCCAACTCCACCTTTATACTCCCACTATGCAAGTGGCCTTTAAAAATAGAAGCATGTTCACCACATACAAAAGCAGTACAATGTATGTAGACATTTGCTAAACCATAACATTGTTTGCACAAAAGGTTCAAAAGAACTTTGGAATGTAGTGGCATGGAAAGCCTGGGCTTCTGCTAATGTGACCTCCGAAGGTGAATCCCAGGAAGTCCTGCCCCTGTAATTCACTGTGAAGGACATCAGACACTACTTCTATTTTCTTTTATGTTGTTGTCTCCTTCTCTGGCTTTTTGCTGGTGCCACAAATAATCTTGGATCTTTCTTCTTATTCTGTAATACCAGAAATGACTTTTTATAATTTTTATTTTAAGGAGCTTCCCCCCCCACACACACACAATAAAATATAAATAAATGGGAAGTTAAAGGTTCTTGCCTGTTGTCTTTTTCTCATTTCTTTACTTAAATTGTGTAGCCAAAAGTAAAGGTGCAGATATGGAAGGTAATAATGGCATCAGTATTTACAAAGAACAAATAGACATGTAGTTTCTTCATTTCAGAGGAAATACAGACTTGAGGGACATGCCAGGGAGATGGCTCAGGAAATGAGTGTGCTAGATAGAAAGACACTTGTTTTGGCTTACTTAATATACTTGCATTCTCCATCAACAAATTAAAGTTAATACACATTAACTTTATTATGTATATGTAAAACCAACCTATATGAGACTTTGTTGTTTGAGAGTGACTTCCACATCTATTATCTCATTTTTATTCTTGCAGCACCTCTGAGGAGTGTTTAAGGTGGTTACTATGAACCTCATTTAATATCTGAGAAAATCAGAAGCTTACTGACCTATTCACGATCACAGAGCTGATAGAACTAAGAGAAAACCCAGACTTTCTGATATCAAGTCAGTGTAATTTTATAACCTCATGCATAATTTTATGCCATGTGCAGTTTTATGTTCTTTTCTTCTGTTAATCTATATATATAAAAGCCTAAGCAACCGGAATGACCGAACGACCGGAACAACAAGAGCGACCAGTCTATAATGTGCACTCACCATCAGGGGGCAGATGCTCAATGCAGGAGCTGCCGCCTGGTGGTCAGTGTGCTCCCACAGCCAACTTCTCCTAGCTTGCCAGTCAACCTCCCGTGGTCCCTCCCCCCCACCGGCCAACCTCCCATGTTCCCTCTTGCTGGTCGGCAGGCCCCAGGCTGGGACAGGGAATTGGGGGTGGGTGGCAGTAGATGCAGCCCCTTTCCCGGGGGGGGGGCAGGGGGCGAGGGCCAGCTCCCTCCTTGGGACAAGCAGCCAACCTCCCATGCCCCGTTTCTCCCCCCGGCCAGCAGGCCCCAATGGGCTCACTATCCACCTGCGCAGTGGTGATGTGGTGGTGAGGGAAGGAGGAGAGGGGGAGGTGGGTTAGGGGCACTGACAATGGAAGTGGTGGTGTCCGGTGTCCATTCCTCCCATGCCTGGCCCAGCAACCATCGCCTCCTCTCCAGTCTGGCCCTGATCAGCCTGGTCCCTATCAGCTCTAGTCACCGGCCATGCCTAGGGACCCCACCCAAGCACGAATTTCATGCACTGGGCCTCTAGTATTATAATAGTATAATAAGACATCTCATTAATAGCTCTTCCTTGGTAAAATGATTTCAGCTATATTTAAGAATTTAACACTCATTTAAGATTTATAGTAAAGCTATAGAAGAACAGCAATTACGATTCATCTAAACCAGCATGGAAATCCTGCTGCCCAGTGTCCCAGACTCCCCTGAAGCTAAGGTGACCATGAAACACAGTCCTGGTTAGTGAGATTAAGGAATTCTGGGACCAGCTTGCTGGGTTTTCTCCATGTGCTTAGAGAAATCCAGCCCAACTTGTTTGTGCAGGAAAGGAGTGGTTGGTTGCAGTAAAGACATCACAGGCATCAGGTAAAAGGAGGATAGAATAGGGCTTGTGGATCTGGCAACTTGAAGTGCTAACAAGAGCAATGTTGGTAAGTTGAAAAGACCAGTTGTCTATTGAAATCTCATTTGAAGTGTAATCATGAAAGTTTGATTTGTTTGGGTTTTTTTTTTCTTTTCTTTTTTTTCTGGAGAGCCATTTACTGATGTCTGTCAAATGTAAAACACATATACCCTTTAGAGCCAGAAATTCTACTCCTAGGAATCTATTCTTGGCAGCATGGAAATCATGAAAATTAGAAATGACAAATTTCTGTCAGTAATGGAAGTGTTCATCTATGCCACAGAATGCAGCAGGTTCTCAAATGAAGTCATTTTGTTTTAATGTTGATGAGATGCCATAGGAACTTAACTCTTCTTTTATATATATATATATATAGATATATATAGATATATAGATATAGATATATAGATTGATTTCAGAGAGGAAGGGAGAAGGAAAGATAAATAGAAACATCAATGATGAGAGAGAATCATTGATCAGCAGCTTCTTGCACACCACTAATTAGGGATCAAGCCTGCAACCCGGGCATGTGCCCTGACCGAGAATCAAACCAGTGACCACATGGAACTTAACTCTTATTGATAGCAATTTGCCTATGATAAAATTGGTTTTGTTACACATCACTTCACTTAAAGTTACAGATGCTAAGTGATGACTTATGGTACCAGAAAGTCAATAAAAACACTGTGAAGGATGTAAATGCACTGACATGGACAGTTGTCCAAATGCATACACTATATTTCAGTTAAATTTAAAAGTTCCCAAAAATATATACTGTGTAAATGTATAGAAGAGAAACTGGAAGGAGGCAAACATCCAAGAAGGGAAGGTGGTATTGGAAGGTACTTGAACTATATCCTCTTTACTGGCGGGGTCTTTTACAACGGTAATGCATTTACATATTATGTCTGTTATTAAGAAAACAAAAGTGGAAAAAAAAACAGTGAATGGTGATGGAAAAAGTGAATACAGCCTTGTACATATTTCTTTCGGGGGAAAAAGTATCAAATAAAGTGATCAAAGAAAATGGTTTGTGACAGGGAATTGAGGTTCTAATATTTTTTAAGATGGAGGTTAAACATGTTTATATTAGTTGGTAATAATTTCCTAAATAGAAACATATTTCTTCAATTCTAAGATATAGGTTTTATCACATTTTAATGATTTGATTGGAAGTATGAACAATTTGCATTCACATTAATGCGTCATCTTTAGCCAGTATTCACAAAAATCCTCTTTAGGTTAAGTTTTCTACTGGAGGTCTTAGAATCTCACTGGCAGCACAAATTCAGACTGGTAACCTTCTTGAGGACTGGCTTGTGTTCAGTTCCTGGGCTTGTGTTTTTGTTTTTCCTATTTTTCATTCTGTGTCAAGGTTGAGATTGGCTCATTCCATTGATATCCCTTTCTGCCTGGTGGGCTAGTGTCCTCACCTAAATTTGCACTGAAGACTAAGGCCTGTACTATCCCAGCATTTGAAGGTTTCTGATTAGCTTTCTTGTCCAATATATGCTATTTCTCAGAATATATTATTTCTTTTTAAAATGTACATAGTTTTGTTATAAAAAAAAGAAGAGAATAACAAGTGTTGGCGAGGGTGTAAAGAAATTAGAACCCCTGTGCATTGCTAGTGGATATGTAAAATGGTGCAGCAGCTATGGAAAGTAATATAGTGGTTCCACAAAGAATTAAACAGAATTACTTTATAGTCCAGCAATTCCATTTCTGGGTATGCTCCCCAAATAATTGAAAGCAGAGATTTGAATAGATATTTGTACACCCATATTCATAGCAGCATTATTCACAAAAATCAAATGGTGGAATCAACTGATGTCCATCAACAGATAAATGAATAAACCAAACATGGTACTTATGTGCAATGGACTATTATTTAGTCTTAAAAAGGAAGGAAATTTTGACCCATGCTGCCAGTGAGATCCTAAGACCTCCAGTAGAAAACTTATGTTCAGGAAGGAATATGGGGTAGAAGACATTATACTAAGGAATAAGCCAATCAAAAAGTAATAAATATTGTATGATTTCATTTATAGGAGGTCCTTAGAATAGTCAAAGTCATAGAGACAGAAAACAGAATGGTGGTTGCTAGAGCTAGAGGGAGGGGAGAATCAGGAACTATTATTTTATTTGGAAACATAAAAAGAGTTCTAAGATGATGGTGGTGTTGATTGCATAACAATGTGAATGTACTTAATGCCACTAAACTGTACACTTAAAAATGGTCAAATGGTAATTTTTAGGTTATATGTATTTTCTCACAATTAAATAAAATGAACATAAAATAATGTTGCAGCCTATAATTTGTGACATTTTAGGTTTGATGAAATGTTGATTATTCCAGGGAGAGAAGGGATTACAATCTTTGAGGAGTTGAGAGGGGCTGGGATGCATCTCAGAAGTGCGGAGCCCAACCTCCACCGCTGAAGGAAGAATAAAGGGCCCATCAGGGCAGGTTAGAAGGCCTCAAGGACAGGTATGTTTCCAGATTTAGATGTATGAGAAGAAGGAAGTTTCCCTTCTGGATGACACCTTACTTCTAAATGTTTGAAGTGAACATATCAGGCAAGAGGGCAAGGAGGTGTGGGAGATAAAATAGGTGCCCTGAAGAGTGGAAGTGAGCCCTTATGAAACACATAATAGGCTTGTTAGTAGTCCTGAGTACCCACTTGAGAACATGACTTTTTTAAAAATAGCTATTTCTATTGATTTCAGAGAGGAAGGAAGAGGGGGGGAGAGAGATAGAAATATCAATGATGAGAGAGAATCATTGATCAGCTGCCTCCTGCACGCCCCCTACTGGGGATCAAGTCCACAACCCAGGAATGTGCCCTTGACCAGAATCGAACCTGGAGCCATTCAGTCTGCAGGCCGGCGTTCTATCCACTGAGCCACACCAGCTAGGGCTTGAGAAGATGAATTTTAAGTAAAATCAGTCTGAATAGTTGTGTTACCTATTCTAGCACTGTTTAAATGCAATAAGGGGAAGACATAGGGCTGGGTTACTCCAAAATCTGGAGATAAGGAGGCAGGTAAGGGAACTGAGGATCATTTGAGGGGGAAAAAAAAAAGTGATGTAAACAAGTAACCTAGGGTTTCCTCTTTTGTGTAATGGGAATGATCATGGACCGTAGCTCAGAAGGTTGTGGTGAAGTCAATGTAAAGCAGGTAAAACACTTTGAACAGTCTGGCACTCAGAAAGTACTCAATAAACAATAAGCATTGCCACTATCACATTATCATGGATTATAAAGTCTCTACTGAACAATGAAGAAAGTAAAGAAACATAGCAACTGATTGTAAGTTTTGGTGAGAAGAGAAAATAATTATCTGAGGACTCTGAGCCA